ATTCCTTTCACTATAAGTTGGGCATATTGGTACTTATTATTTCTCAGTATGTGGCCTACGTATGATGTTTTTCTAACTTTTACTGTGTTAAAAAGTTCTCTTTTAACCTAAATAACGTAACCTAACCTAATCTAACTTAACCTTCTTCTAAATAAGGATTTATGTTCTATTGTCTTTTCTTTTAATATAACCAATAACTCTTTAACAAAATTATAGTATAAGCAATAATTCCTAGCTATTTACACATATTAGTCAACCCGTTGTTGTTTATCAACGTTGTCACCCAGTTTCATTTGATTAAATTCACGATATACGACAATTGTCGATATTATATTTCGATGTGTAATATACCTCCTACATATTCATGTTAAAATTATACACTGAATAATTGCATATAATAACTACAATCATTTGGCCTGCAGTTTTGTAAGTAATTGAACAAGTTGGTAAATATTTGCTATCCGGATATTGGTTTTTTTTTAATCGAAGCGGTTTTAAAAGATAGACATTGAGAAATGTTCAGATTATCCAGGACGCAAAAAGTCTTGGTAAATGAAAATACTACCCAAAAATTTCAGGACTTGACGTAATTTCTATTAATTATTACTTTTGATCTTGGTATTACTTTTAAAATCTTTTTTAAAGTTCTTTATTAGGATATAGTTTAGTGATAAGGTCGAATCATAACTTGTCCATTCTGTTTTGAATTATTTTTTTATTGCTTATATTACGTCTCCTGGTCGAAGTTAGTAATTATTATATTTATTATAATGTTAACCCTTAAACGGAGAGAAAGACTTTGAGAAACTAGTTATGCAATAGTATTTGGAGAAGGACGATGAACCTGATGATTACAACTCTGGACAGAGGTTGACAACTCTGATATAGATCTGTACTATGTAAAAAGTGATGAAGAGCAGCAAGCATCACAAGAAGAAGTCGAAATACGTGCAGAAAGTGACAGTAGTGATGAAGAAGATGACCTTCTTGAAGCTGAGTAATATATTATTAGTAAAAGGGCCAACCAATATGAGGAAGGAAATAGCGGAGAAATATAGTGTTTTAAATTGGCATAAAAGACAGGACAATAAATGATTAAAGAGTGCATCGTCTTGTGTTAAAAAAAACGCCAAAATATTAACATTATTCGCAAATCTCCCGGACTTACCAGAAAAGCTACCAAAAAAGTGAACCCTGGTAAAATAGAGATTTGGAAATGCTTATTTAATGAACCAGTGATTGATAAAATTATCCAACGCACAGGTGTTAAATGGATTTCAATTAGACGCAAACTAAAACTTAAAGGTAGTAAATCAAATTCTAGAGATACTGATATTGTGGAGGTAAATGCATTTATCGGTTTGCTTATGCTCACTTCAGTTTTAAAATCTGGCCACGAAAATATGAATTCGCTATTTGCAAACGATATAAACTGCTAAGGCTGATAATACAGGCAAAGATAAGAGGAGGAAGGGGTATAGGAAGAAGGAAAGTGTTATGGTTCAAGAATTTAAGCGACTGATTTAAATGCAATTCTATAGAACTTTTTAGAGCAGCAGTAGATAAAATAGAGATAGTGATGATGATGGCCAACCTCCGATTGGGAGACGGCACTTAAAGAAGAAGAAAGGGCCTAACTTAAATACCTATTTTTAGATAAACCATGTCCGTTAAGCGCTTTAAAATATTAGAGAGTTCTCTTAGGTTTAATGATGCCACAACTTGACAGAAGAGAAAGAAATCAGGCTGTGCTGCCCTAATTCCCAAATAGTTCATGCTTTTATTCAAAACTCTTAAGAAATGTACTGTCCTAGTGATAATATATCAGTGAATGAAATGCTTGTCGCTTTTAGAGATAAATGTGGATTTCGGATGTACATGCCAAAGAAACCAGCTAAATATGGCATAAAGATTCAATGCTTGGCTGGCTCGTATAGTTCGTACCTCTATACTGTTTAAATTTACACAGGAAAGAACAGTGATGAAACAAAACTTTCCGAAGAAGAATGTAAGCTTTTGAAATCCACTCAATTAGTTTTACTTCTACGCAAACCGTTGAAAGATCGAACCGGAATATTACAGCCGACAATTGGTTAACTTCATTGGAGCTGGTAGAAGAACTTAGAAAAAGATCTCTAACATATGTCGCCACTATGAAGATAAATAAAACTATTATATTATCAGATTTCATGGATTTGCTAGTAATATACATCACTCTCTTGTCAATTGTTCTGAAAATCAACAGATCAGTTGTGGTTATATCGTCCATACATGAGAGGGTTGAAACATACCCTGATAAACATAAACCGGAAATTTTCTGTTAATATAACAAAACAAAAGTGGTGTAGACATTCCGAAAATGGAAACTGCTTTACATTCATTTAATCGAAGAATCAGAAGATGATCGTTAGTAATGTTTTACACTAATCAATATAAGTTGTGCCAATAGATTCATATACCTTTTTCCCTTCGCAGCAACACTGTGATGTCCAAAATTTGACTGTGCGAAAGATTGCACACAAAAAGCCCCCTCTTACGTTTCAACTTCCGAACGAAGCAGACACGCTGGTGAATCATCCGATCACGTATTAACTACTGTAAGTTGTAATATTTCATATACAAAAGCACAGATCAAATAAATGGTAATTGTGCCATCTAAAGAACTATTTAAAAATATAGTTTATAATTGTAATACATTTCTACTGAGTAAGAGTAGTTTATTTAAATCCATAACACAAAAAGAACCGCTTAATGGAAATGCACCAAAGGTCGAAGGAATAATCTGAAGTAATTATACCTAATTACTTGTACCTAGCCAAAATATTTAGAACCCCTCCCTTTATATTAAATTTTTATATTTGTATTACCGTCAAAATCCCTCAATGAAAAAGATCCACTTTATTCAAAGTTTGGCTATGATCTTCATAGAACCACATCTAAGAAGACGTCTATTAATTCTTAATCTCCCTAGAGATGTAAGGTTACTTACACGTGAAGTTATTTTTGAAGAATTAGAAAATCCCACAGAAGAACTTCCGTCTGACAAACTTCAGAAACGCAAAACAAGTTCTATCTGCCTACCTCAGAAAGAGAGAAGAACGTCATACAAATGCATAAAATGTAGCGATTCTATTTGTTTGCAGTGCATCAGAAAAGTATGCAATAACTAAAAAAATTTTGTTAAAATCCTTTATAAAAGGTATATAAAATTGCCTCAAACGGGCTATCACAAACACATTGCAAAACGTTTTCGGATTAAACAATCCATCATCAGTGCAAACGGTTGTACATGCTAGTAGCCACCAAAATATATGGGTAAAAACCCCTTAAAAGTTATAAATTTAACATTATTTTACATTATTAGTTTTTATAGTTTGTGATGGTTAAGTTACCGTTGGATAGGTAACATGGCGGCGTATGACTCTACATGAGTAAAATGGTCCTGAGACGAAGTGCCTACGAGGACCTGTTGATAACAACTGTTGTTATCAACAGGTCCTCGTAGGCACTTCGTCTCAGGACCATTTTACTCATGTAGAGTCATACGCCGCCATGTTACCTATCCAACGGTAACTTAACCATCACAAACTATAAAAACTAATAATGTAAAATAATGTTAAATTTATAACTTTTAAGGGGTTTTTACCCATATATTTTGGTGGCTACTAGCATGTACAACCGTTTGCACTGATGATGGATTGTTTAATCCGAAAACGTTTTGCAATGTGTTTGTGATAGCCCGTTTGAGGCAATTTTATATACCTTTTATAAAGGATTTTAACAAAATTTTTTTGTGATATATGGTATACAGCCAGCTACAGGAACTTAGTTTCCTCGTGGAATTTTATGCAATAACTGTGCTGTAATGGGATCTAACTTTATAATTAATAGTTTTTAGTGAAATTAGTGAAATTCGGTGTGTTTACTTTAAATAGTTACAAGTTTTTTTAATAATTTTGTAAGTGTCCCTGTGTTAAAAAACAAATTTTCAGAATAAAAGAATCAGTATTTGTTTTTTACGCCGTGTCACTGAGACAGGATGTTTCCCATTATGTACTAAAGACAATGTTTCGGTTTAAGAGTTAAGACTGTTACACCACTTACCATTCCATCTTCAAAAATTAGTTTGACCTGTTTCAGCTAAAGAAACATTTCTTTCCGACATTTATCTGACTCATTTATTAGTCTTTGTAATAGCCCTTTCGTCCTAATAACAGCTGCGGTATTGTAATCAATAAAATAACAAGATATAAATTCAGATGCTTTATTTATAATGTACAGTAAATAAAAACCTGAAACTCTTACTAAAAGTTACATTGTCTATATAAAATTTTGGAAATTTCAAAAGCGTCTTCTTAAAAATTAAAATAAAGAAATGAATTACCATTATTTACTCTCTAATCTACGCCACTGTCGAAACATTTATCTTTTGCTACCAATGTATTTTAAACAGTATATAAACTTTATTGCCGTATTGTATTATGAGCTCAGATAGGGGCGTATGTCCGAAAATGCAGGCATTCGTTTGCTTTGGTATTAGAATTCTAGTAATCACTTGTAAAATTTTGAAAATCACACTGTGAAACTGTGGTGTCAACCATTAAGAACAACACTATCACTTTGCTGATTTTTACCTCCAATTATTAATTATTTGTAGAGAAATATTAAGAACTGATAAAGTTTACGAATTTTGTAATTATAGTGAAAATAATGCGAGACAAAACAGCGTCTGAGAGAAACAGCGCACAATTTGAAAAAAAAAAACACTCTTTTTAATAAGGTTTCGACTTTAGTTCGAATATCAAGGTGACAACCGCTTCCATTTGGAGGTCAAAAGCTTAATAAACGTTTTTATTATACATTTTATGAGCTGTATTTTTCAAAAGACAGTAAATATCTTATGTACTTGATACCATTCCCAAAACTAAGACCATTGTAAAACCAGAAATCTTAAAACACTAAATTTTACGGTTAGAAATTACAAACAATTTCTGTTTCAGATAAATATGGTGCAATACTTTTTACTTATTCTGGCAACGGCATGCCTAACATCAGCGTATCCTAAAGAAGGTCCTACAGAAAACAATAATCAACAATATCAACAAAGGCCGGTGTTCGTTCTTTTAGATCAAACTCTTCAAGACCAACTGTACGCACAACAAATTCAAAATGAAGTACGAGTTAAAGCACCGCTACAAGAAATACAACAACCTCGAATTCAGGAACTTCAACAACCTCGCATTCAAGAGCAACCTCAATTAGAACAGCAGCAAATTTATGCACCAGGAGGTTTTCAATATGGAGATCCGCAGCTTCAATATCCTGGTTATAATCAACAAGCATTTCCAAGGCAAGTAATTTTTCATCTATATATTAAATTTCTGTAGCGTATAATGTTTTAAGTATAATATCAAATATACAAATCCCTGATAAGACGAGTCCTTTTAAATGAGACGTGTTTTGAGTGGAGTTTGGCATGGAAGTTGGCGCAAACATTTTTGATAGTAGAATTTTGATTGGTGGGTGAGCGGACGATATTTTCTTTATGAGAGGTCTTCACGTCGGGGGTTAAGTTTGTTTAGGAGAAAATGGTTGGCTTTAATTAGTGTTGTCGTAAATATTATTAAATTTATCTGACTTGGCCCATTGTTAAGACCTTGTACCTCATGTAAATCATTGTTCCTAGAACCGGGTCTTTTATACTATTATCGGATAACCGAGGATATTTATAGTCGATAGTAATTGACGTCAACCATTTACTGCTAAATAAACCTTAACCTTATGCCGTCATCTCTTATTGAGACAATTTGGCCTTTTTTCAATTTCTATAGCTTCTTGAATAATTCTTGGTTTAAAGAATGGTTTTGGAGTTTTAAAAATCAATTTTGTGACCTGTATGAATATAGGCTTGACCTAGAGATGAAGCTGAATCGGAATTGCGAACAAAAAGAGAATGTTCATAAATCCTATTTTGGATACTACGATTTGTTTGGCCTATATAAGATCGGGGACAGTTTGCACAACGAATTTCATAAACTCCGTGTTGTTCATTTGGAATGTTGCCTTTGATTGATCGAGCGAGAGATGAAAGTTGTTAGGATGTAAATATTGTCTTTATTCCTCTTCATTTAAGAATTATGTCGATTTTGTCAGTGACACCTGGATGTAAGAAAGAAAAGCTTTTGTATAATAAGAGGCTAAAACTTTGGGTTGAGATTGAGTGGGAGATTGATGGATAGTCTGTGGATGCTCATATTGATATGATTTTCGCGGTAACCGTTTTGGATGAGGGCGTGTTTTAGACTAGAGAGCTCAGCGGATTTACTTGTATCATCGCAAAGGGGTATTGATCTGCAGACGAGGGTATTAAGGACTGAATTAGTTTGTGAAGGTGGATAATAAGAGTTGGCATGCAAGTAACGATTGGTATGGGTAGGTTTTCGATAAACAAACTGATAAAAACTTTGGGATTGGTTTTTCTTTATGAAAACTTAAAGAAATGGTAGGGATGAATCAAATTCCATCTCTATCATGAACTGGACACTAGGATGTATACCATTCAGTTGGGTTTTAAAAAGATACCAAAGCATCACTACCATGGAGCCAAATGATAAATGTGTCGTCAACATATCGTAGCCAACATGTGGTTTTGAGCATTGATGTGGATAATGGTCAGCTCTCCCACAATGATATTGTTAAATACTGAAGATAGTAGGGAGCCCATTGGGGCACCATTTATTTGTCTGTAGAATTGATTTTAAAATATGAAATAAGTGTTGGACACTCATTGTGTGCATTGATTGAAACCTCGGAAGCCCTGAAGAAGACATCAATGAATTATTCAATGAAGACATCATTAATCAATATTAAATTCAGCACTGAAGATTGTTTAGTTTAATATTGAAGAGAATGATCGATAAGAAATAAAGAGAGAGAGAAAAGGAGAAAGAAAAAAAGAGGGAAGGAGGGAGTGAAAGCAGAGTGAAATAAAATGACGTATGGAGTAGAATAGAGTATATAATTTTACATTATATACAGCATACAAATAATCTGATATATAATATTTATAAATATTGAACGTTTGCGCTGGACAAGACATGTGCAACGTATGCAGGAGAATGAAATACCTAAGAAAATAATAAGATCAGCACCAGTAGAAAGAAGATCAAAAGAAAGACCCAAACTTAGATATATGGAATAAGTGACTCTAAAGATTACCGACTGGAAAAGATTTTTGGAGCTGATGCCGAATCATGACCTACATCATTCAACGAGACCAGAAACTAGCATAACAAAAGATACCTGGAAACAAGTGAAAGAAGAATCATAGGAAGAATAAGGAAAGATACTGATGGACAGATCAAGAAGAAGAGACAACAGAAACCCATGCCGGAAAGATAATATAAATGAATGGGTAGAATTTCGAAGGGAAGGATGGAATAGTCACATTAGCTGAATTTCAGAAAATTGAATAACCAAAATGTATCTATCGGAAGAAGAAACTTAAGTTTAGTAGAAAGAAATGAAATAATATAATTTCAATGGAACAAGAGGCAAAGTTGAAGAAGAACATTTCACCTTGGAATTTATAATATATTTCTTATAAGGTTCATGACATAATATACTACTCATAAAAAACAAACGATTTGTTTGTATTATTTTTTTGTAAGTTACAAATAAATACTGCTATCCAGTATCAGAAACATAAAAATATTATACATACATCATAATTTAAATGATTTATCACAAGACCCTAAAAAGAATATTTTTTTCATAAAGATAGCTGCAATAATTGTAATAATTTCTTAAACCAGTTATTCTCAGTACATAAATTATTCATTGAGAGTCTACATGCGTTTATTGTCTATGCAAATGGAGTAAATTGGTCAATGACAAAAGTCGTCAGTAGATGTACGTACGATGCGATTAAATTATTAATGATTGATGGATTCGACCATTAGTTGAAATTCATTTTATGTAACAATAAAACACTGAAAACTTTGTTTGCACCAAATTTATTATAAAATCTTATCACTACAGCTGTTTCGACAAAGTGCCTTTTCAAGTGATAGAATTTTGGTAGGCGTTTACACTTTATAGTCTTTAATTAAATAGGTTAAGGAAGGGAGAACTGTTTGTCTCAAGTTGGCCATTTAGAATTATATATGTGTTTTTTAACTTGTTAATTTCCATAGATTCTAACAAAGATAATTGTAGGCCCTTATTTTGAATGTGAAGAATTTGAAATTCGTCATTAAAAGAATAATTATGATCTAGAAGGTGAAGTGTGTATGTCGAATCTGTTTTTCTGTTATTGAAAGCCCTTTTATTCTGTTCTATGTTCTGCTGTTATGTTCTGCTATTCGTTTATTAAAATTTCTACCAGTTTGGCCGATGTAAGTTAACGCCACATTTAAGCTTGTATACACCTCTGTGTAAGTGCTTTTGACTTTGAGATAGACAAAACTGTTAAATACAGTTAAATAGTGTTAAATCTGCCGACCACCGGTATTTTTGTGTTGGCTTTATTGATTTTCAGACCAATTTTATTTCTTACTCAACTCTTCGCAGTGCAGTGTCATCAGAAAATCTTACATTGGAGATTTTCCTACAAGCCACTGTTTCTCCACCAGCCCATCCATCTAAAGCCATCCTCATGATATGTTCACCATAAATGTTGAATAAGTCAAGTGACAACACGCATCCTTGTTCAACACCTCTCTTGGTCTTTATTTGGTTTAAGATCTTTTGATCTAGTCGTACTGTTGCTATGTTGGACTGGTACAGATTTTTAATAAGTGTCACCAGGTGCATTGGTGTGCCCAATTCTATTAAAATGGAGTATAGATTTATCCAGCTTACACAATTAAATGCGTTTTGGTAGTCAGCGAAGCATATAATCATAGGTACTTGAAATTTTCTAGACTTTTCAATGAGTTATCCCAGGTTAAGAGTATGTTCCCGTGTACCTTTATTCTTTACAAACCCCGCTTGTTCCTGAGGTAATTGGTAATGTAGATAAGTTTTTAATCTAGTTCTTATATGCACCAAATTAATTTATGGGTATGCCTCCATCCTGTCCACCATTAATTTTACGGTATAAAATAAATTAAATTTTTTATATACACCAAAATACCACAGCCAATAAGTTATTTCGTTTAAAAAAAAAACAAAGTCACATATTTTTTTGTAACATATTAACATATTTATTAAAATCTGTCTACTTCAATGTGAATGTTAACCGCTTTTATTTTATTTTTTATTTCCGGTCCACTTTTTAAACTTCAAACTGTTTTGTTTCAATATAAACGTCTACTAGCAACATCTTGTAACATTTAGCTAATTTTGTTACGTAATCAAATTTCAAATATTTAGTATTCTGTATCATCTGTTGATGATTTTGATGATTTATTCTAGTTTCCCAATGATCACGAAAGTTTGAAATTTTGCTTTTATTTATTGATAAAAATTTCTCCCATGTAACAGATGCTTTTTGTATATTGAAATAAATAAATTTCCTAATAATTATTTAATAAACGTAAGTTTCTCTTACTTTAATAAAAAAAATTTAAAGAAATTCTGTGATTGTCCATAATATGTATGTTTGAAGATATTCTGATTTTTACTTATTAAGTTTCTCTTTGATTTGAAATCTTATCTGATCATTAAGCAACAGTAATTTGTAATTATTTCTCCTGAAACTATAGATAAATTTTTTTTGTAGCCTCGTTGTTCATTGGCTCTGATCTTCCAAAAAGATGGTCATTGATCATCGTTCGGGAAATTAATCAGTTGTAGTTTTAATGAAACAAAATACTATAAACAACCTAAAGAAATCAGTTCTAACACATATTAATAAGAAATATTCTCTTAACGTAGATGTAGAAAAAACAAAATGATAAAATTGTGATACCAAAAGAATCAACAATAGAGATTAACTGTACATAACATAGCACAACCACGAGATTGTTAACCACCACAACAGAAAAGACTCGCGAAAATTCTACCAGAAGATAAAAAGCTGCAGAAAAGAATTCAAACCCAGCATGTAAAGACAGAGATGGTTCTATAATTAGTGACAAAGAACAGATACTAAATAGGTGGGCGAATCATTTTGAAGAACTGCTTAGCGACAGTCGTGAAGAAGGCCAAATAGAAATTACCTTGCCCGAAATGGATGAAAACGCTCAAAAGCCGCCCCCCACCGAAGAAGAAATTAGAAAAGCCATTTCAAAACTAAAAAATAACAAAGCACAAAGATGGTCACAAACAAATTTTGTTTGTGACAATCTTCCTGCCGAACTTTTTAAAAATGATGGTGACACCCTTCTAACACATTGCATTAAACAC